CAATTGAGTACATATTATAAGTTTTTTCTTACTTTAATACCAAAATAAAAGAAAAAGTACAAAAACACCTTTCATACAAAATATCAATTATATCAATTTTTTTTTGAAATTACCTATTTGAAAACCCAAAAAAAAAAAAAAAAAAACATTTCATTCCACCACTCCAACCCTCCATCGCCGCCGGACGTCACCGCCGCTCCAACCCTCGCCGCCGCCGGACGCCGCCGCCAAACACCGCCGAACGTCGCCGCCGCTGAATTCATTGTTATCAAGCCGCCGCCGTCTTCGAATACAAGTAATATTTGTTTTCAATTTTTTTTCTTTAATATTTATTTAGGATTTGATTGTTTGATATGTGTAATTAGGATTTGGTTGTTTTAGGTAGGAATGATCGTTGATTAGTAATGGGTGCATCTGATTTCAGTCGATTTGAGCATTGATTTGAGATTCGTGGGTCGGTTCTTCGTTCACAATTTCCGACCTGTATGTCGATTTTTTCGAAATTTTCGACATATTGATGTCGAAAATTCATCCAAAATCGACATATAGTTGTCGATTGTTTTGAAATCTTTGAATTGAATGTTTGATAATTCGACAGCACACTGTCGAAAATTGGTTGAACATTCGACATCTAGCTGTCGAATTTTCAACCAATTTTCGACAGTTTGCTGTCGAATTTTCAACCAATTTTCGACAGTTTGCTGTCAAATTCATTCTGTGTAATTTTTTTTATTTATTTTTTTTATTAATTTTTTTTCTTTCCTATTTTTATTTGCTTGTGTTTATATTATGTATATTTATTTTTATTTGTGTGTTATTTTGCAGTGGAAGAACCACGTGAACCTCGTATACCTCCGACTATCTTGAACCGTAAGAAGATGAAGGAATTATCCGATAAGGGCAAGGGCAAGGCAATCACGACCAAGAAAAAGACCACGACCAAGAAGTCTGAAGAGGGTTCTTCCTCAACGAATCCAGTGCCGGCTCTTCCCTCGATTGTAGACGTTGGTGCCGGCTATTTGATTTGCTTGTTTTTTTAATTTAGTTTTATATGGATTTTGATTGTTTTAAATGAAATTATTTTTGATAATTTGAAATTTTAATTGTTTTTGTCCAAAAACACTTAGAATATGTTTTTTATGTTACATTGCAATATATTTGGGGTTAATTTCACAAAACACTTAGAATATGTTTTTTATGTTACATTGCAATTTATCAAAAACGAACAATCACATACGGTGTCCTACGTCCTCTATCCCCGTCACTCGAACCCGCAATCATTAACACCATTCCAATTCTTTTACATACTTCACGAACCCATGCCAATAAAGCTTCTTTTGTTGGGAATTTTCCTGACGTGGTAAATGAATGGGTGCAATCGATCTACAAAAAAGTGGAGAAAATATAAGACAAGTAAATTTGCAACATGCACAAAATCGACATTTAAGTGTTGAAAATGACCTCAATTTTCGACACTTAAGTGTCGAAAATATGGGTACATTCGACACTTAAGTGTCGAAAATGAATAAAATATCAATTGCCATCAATTTTCGACACATACATGTCGAAAAATAAGCACATTTTCGACCTGTATGTGTCGAAAATTGATGGCGAATTTAAAAAAAAATAAAAAATCAAAATCGATGTTTTAGCTCAAAAAATACATGAATACATACCTTAATGGGTTCTCCTTGCTCGTAAACTACCATTCTATTGTCATTTGACGTCATTTTGCAAGTTGTGTAAGGTTTTGATTTCTTTAGTTTTGAGGTTTTTTAGAAGGGTTTTTGGGTGAAGGAGAAGAAGGAGGTGGAGGAGGTGAGGGTTTGTGAGTGAGGAGGGAAATTGATTTTTTAGGGTTTTTGATTATTTGGTATTTAAGAAAGAAAAATAGTAATTGTAATATTTTTTGGTTTTAATTTTCATTAAGGGTATTAAAGTAATTTACAATTAATTATTTATTTTTTATTTTTTTGGTATTCAAGTAAGCAAAAGTTGGGATTTGAAATAGAGATCCCCTAAAAAATATCCTAATTCCTTAGAAACAGGATATGCATTGGACGAGCTAATAAAACTTAATAGCTTAATACTTGGATGAACCCCACCGGCTCGCCCACTTGTTGACGAACCTGAAAGTCAACAACTGAGTCTACCCAAACGTTCTAAATGTTGTGGGCCCGCCTGATGAAGTCAATTGCCTTGTCAGTGAACGTGCGTATTTCGGGGTAGTACTCCTTGAGACGGAAAGTCAACAAATAGTGGACGGTGCTGGAGATGGTGCATTTTCCTCTTATATCGTCTATCACAACATTTAATACCTTCGAGTCGATGATTTGATCTCCAATGTTGATTGTGTTCATGATGCAGGTGGTCTTGATCCGGAAGATGATGGTTCTCTCTAAACCAGGTGTCTATCCGTAGTCGTACGATGCGAGTAGTTCTTCCTTGATCGAGAAATTGTATCCGCATTTGTAGCCCGCCACTCTAGTAGCCATCTAAAAAATCAAGAAATCAAGTCAAATTTGTGGTGAGAAAAAGAAAACCAAAATAGAAGTAAGAAAATCATAGAAATACTAAAAATTAAAATTTAGCTTATCTCGTACCGAAAATTTGCATTCCGAATTCTGAAAATTCGATATCTGTTTTTTCGATTTTGTTTCCGAACGACATTGGAAAACATATTAGATTTCAATTTTCGATCCAATTTTAAATTTAATGATTTTCCGAAAAATTCGACTTTAATGACTTTTGCATACACCCAAATTCCAGTTTTAATTTGTGAAACCCCCCCTAGACTTATGTGATAAGACAAAAATACCCCCAACCCTATAACCTTAAATCCTAATTTTTTTCTTCCGCTATCAGTCGTCATTCTCGGTTTTTCAACCGATCTATTTTCTCTCTTCATTGTTCTTCTTCCTCAAACCCTAGATCTACTCCATCACTACAAAATCGAAGAGGCAACACAAAATCACCGGTGGCCGGAGTCGACAAACAGAGGCGGTAAGGACTAGCGGCTAGACACCGACGGAGTTCTGAAAATTACCGTACGCCGCCCATGTTCTCACCACAGCCGCCGCTCTCCGCCAAATCACCGCCGCCGCCCTTCACCAGAACCGCCGTCGGGGTACTCCGAAGTGTCATTCGAACGATGCATCCCTTCTCCCTCCGCTGCTTGCCGAGATCTATAATATTAATTGGTACAATTTATTTTTTATTTTTTCTCGAATTAATTAACCGTAAAGCCCGTTCTGGGTTTGAATTTTTCGATTTTATCATTTGTTTGTCATGAATGCATAGATTTCAATTATCTGCATTTTATTAAATTTTTGAGTTTTTGTTAGTGTCATTCGAACGATGCATCCCTTCTCCTAGGGGTGCAAGTTGGAACGGATTTTCCAAATTCCGCCGGTTCCGATCAGAAAAGTTCCGATTTTGGAACAAATTTTTTCATTCCGACTTCCAAAATTCCGATTTCCGAAATTTTCCGATTTTTTTGGATTGGAATTGGAATTATATAAAATAAATTTGGAATTTCCGATTTCCGATCCGATTTGATTCCGAAATTAATTTCGAAAAATTCCGATTTTTTTTTTTCGAAAAATACACCTATAAATAGTATATATTATATAATACTTATTTTTCGAAAAACACACCTATAGGTTTTGTTTTAGGATTTTGACATAATGAACTGTTGTTAGAAGTTTTATTGGATATGATGCTGTGTTCATTTTTATTTACTTTTTTGAATTGAAATTTAGTAGTTATTAGTTTTACTTTTATCGACGTGGATGCTCTTATATTCGAAAAATTATGAACATTGTAGAAAAATTCGGCTAAGTTTTGAAATTTTAAAGCTTATGTGATTTCCGATTTTTTTCCGAAATTCCGAAATTTCCGGGCCTTTTGGAATTGGAATGAATTTTTAGATTCCGAAAATTTTGGAATTGGAATTGGAATTGATTTTCTACTTCCGAAACTTTTTGGAAATTTTCCGAAAAGGCTAATTCCGATCCGATCCATCCGACTTTCATCCCTACCTTCTCCCTCCGCTGCTTGCCGAGATCTATAATATTAATCGGTAGAATTTATTTTACAGAGTAGTCACATTTGACAGAGTAGTCATGTTTAACAACTTAGTTATATTTGTCCTTTTTTTTTTGTAGTGCTGCATATGTTCAACAATGTAGTCATATTTAATAGAGAAGATCAAACGGAAGATTAAGTGCAGTCGGTGCAACCGAGTTGGATACCGCAACAAAAAAACATGTTCGATGGCCATTGTTGAAGGATCACATTAGTAATTTTTGTTTTTTTGTAGTCATTTTTTTTTCTGTTTGCAATGTATTTTGATGTTAATATTGCAAGTTTTTTCAAGTGCTGATTACTTGTAGTCACATTACGCATAACCTAGTCACATAATAGTCATATTCCCACTGTCATGTTCAGTCTGTTATACAAACTGTAGTCACCTAATTGTCATATTCATGCTTTTACTGTCTGATAATAATCATGTTTTACAAAACACAGTCCCATTCACATAATAGTCATATTCTTACTGTTAATCCTGTTCAATCCGGTAGACAATCTGGAGTCACATTATGGTCATATTCAGGCCTTTTTCTGGTCTGTTGATTTATGAGGTTTTACAAAGCATTGTCACAGTCACATAATAGTCATATTCTTAATGTTATATTAATAATTATGCTTCTACAATATGTTAATTTACACTGTTTATACACTACGTAGTCACATAATAATCATATTCAACTATAGTCAAATTCGTAGTTGTAAATCTGTCGAGAAAAAAAATATCAATTTTTTGTTTTAAAAAAAAATATTAAAATTAAAAAATCCGAAAATAATACAAAAAAAAAAAAAATCCCTATTTTTTGATTTGGTAGCAAATTTTTAGAAATTTGGAAGTAGATTTTTAGGAATTAGATTATTGTTATGGAAAGAGAGAAAAAAAGAATAATTGAGACTAATTATGCTAATTGACATAAGGGTAGAATTGGAAATACAAATTCTAGGGGTTATCACAAAGAAAGATTTAAGAGTTGGACATATCACCATTTATTATCTATATGAGGGGTTTATTGCTAATAACCCCAATAATGTATTAAGAATTTTCAGATCCGGCCAATTCTAAAAATAATTCAATTTTGGATCACTTCACTCCAATTTCTAATTTTTTTGAATTTGTTTAAACGGAATTGGAATTTAAAAACAAGAAAATTTCAAAAGCGCCGGTTTGAATGCGATTTCAGTGAATGAAAGTTGAGGCTGATGACGTCGGCAGAAACATTTCTCTCTCTCTCTCTCCTCTCCCTTTCTCTCTCTAAAAAATGAGGAAGAAGCGAGTGGTGATAGTGGGAGGCACAGGCTACTTGGGGCAGCACCTTCTGCAATCTTTGGCCGACGATCCAGTTGCAAATTCCACCTTATCTCTCGCATTCACGCATCACTCCGTTCCTCCACCTCACGCGCTTCTCAATGCCGTTCCTCACGCTCTCCCTTTCCACGTCGATCTACGCTCCGGCGACGGCCTCAGTGCCATCTCCGACGCATTCGGACAGGTTTCAATTTCCCCAATTTAGCAACTAATATTTAATTTTTTTGTTAGTGACTGAGTTTATTTCTTCAATTTATGCAATTGATTTTGTATTTTGTATGCAAATGCAATTGGTGGTGTGTTCATTCAATTTTTTCATATAAGTTGATGAGATTCGTATAAATTTTTAGGTGATTCCTAATTTGAATATGGTAGAAATTTCCGGAAAATTAGAAACATGTTTCGATACCAAAATTCCGAAGATTTTGTTCTTCACATGATTAGATTAATCAATTGCAAATATAGTTCATGGTAGATTTCGGGCTTTATTCGTAAATTGTAATAGCTGTATCTGATTTTTAGCCTGACGTCGTGATAAATTGCGCTGCGCTTTCCGTCCCTCGCGTGTGCGAATCGGATCCGGAAGCAGCCATGTCTGTAAATGTTCCTACGTCTCTCGTGAAGTGGCTATCTAGCTTCGGAGATGCTACTCTTCTGATTCATTTGTCAACCGATCAAGGTTCGTTTAGGAATTTATACTCTACTTAGTCGTACTTTCACCTTCATTTTCTCGTCTTATTGTTTTACGTTTTTGAGATCTTTCAGTCGGTATAGACACCGCAAAAAAAAATGGTGGTTTGTTTTCTTATACGAGTCTATTTATTGGCTTCGCTGTAGTCAAAAGAAATAAGATTTTTTTTTTTGATTCACAGTCTTGAAAATGATTTGGATATTTCTGTAGTTTATGAAGGGACAAAGTCCTTCTACAAAGAAGAAGATGAGGCTGCTCCCGTGAATGTTTACGGGAAATCCAAAGTTGAAGCGGAGCGTTTCGTATCGAAGAACTGCCAAAACTTTGCGATTTTGAGAAGCAGTATAATATACGGACCACAAACTATCTCCCCTGTTCCTAAATCACTTCCGATCCAGGTATATATACGTGCTACTTTCTCGTACTTTAGTAACTTAATAACTGCTTTGAAGTAAATTGAATCTCCATGAAAGAGCAACCGCCGTAATTGAAGCTCCATTTACTCAGCCTCTCAGATTGAATAATCTAGACTAATCTATTTCAGTTATTTTTCATCCTCATCTGCATTGTTTCTTGGGATTCTAGAATAATCTAGAAGTTTCTGGTGCAGTGGATAGATGGTGCCCTTGCTAAGGGAGAGACGATGAATTTCTTTAACGATGAGTTTCGTTGCCCTGTATTTGTAAAGGATCTTGTTTCTATCATACAGTTCCTCACTAATCAATGGATCTCGGGTTGGCCTTATTTCTTGCTGCAAAATTTTAGTTAGTTTTTATATTTTACATTTTTATTTTTTTTTCGTATTGAGATGATGCATTTGCAGAGGGTAAGCAAGTCCAGTTGCTTCTAAATGTCGGCGGACCAGATAGGGTTTCGCGGGTTCAAATGGCTGAGGCTGTTGCACTTGTTAGAGGTTATAGTACCTCGTTAATTAAACCGGTGCCTTCTTCATCGGTATTTTTCTAG